GTAACTGTTTTTCTCTTGCTGCTTTTAAGATTTTCTCTTTGTCTTTTGCCCTTGGCATTTTAATTATGATGTGTCTTGGTGTGGTCCTGTTTGGATTCCTCTTATTTGGGGTTCTCTGCGCTTCCTGGACTTGTAAGTCTATTTCTTTCATCAGGTAGGGGACGTTTTCTGTCATGATTTCTTCTAATAGGCTTTCAGCAGCTACTCTGAGTAAAGAGCTTGACACCTGTTTTGCTTTTTTAGGTTAAAAAAAGCATTACAAATCTTCTAAACAATAAAATTCCTTCTAAAAAATGTTCTGTTTTATGAAAAACCCTTGGGCACTTGTTTAAAACCCAGATACCTAGCCTAGGGAGTAGGATTTCTGTGAGACAGGCCTGCATATCTGCATTATAATTCTCCAGGTATCACTGAGGCTCACTAAACTTTGAAACTATAGGTTTAATGGCTCTGCCATCAATCTTTATAATGGGGAAAATTGTCTCAAAGGTGCAAATCTGATACTTGGTCACTGTGACTTTGTGAAATTATGAAAAGTTATTTTATATAGAGGGAAATTAGGATTAATAGGCAATTAATTCAAATGATAGCAAAATAAAATTGAAGTACTTAATCATAATTTTGCTATTACTCTTTAATTATTAGAGCTCAATGCACAGCACTGGGAAAATTTTCTTTTAGTGCCTATATAATCCCAATGACCAGGTTTTACCAAAATTTGTTCAAAATTTGTGTGGGTTGTGTTAGGTTCTTGTAGGTTTAATTTTCTAAAATATAGAATGTCTAGATCTACTTTCCCTGTTTTGCTTGTCCCTTCTCTAATGTACAGCATAGTGATTATATTAATAATACTGTTTTATTTGCTTACAAGTTGCTAGGAGAGTAGATCTTAAATGTTCTCACCACAAAGAAGAAATGTTAATTCTGTGTTGTAATGATTTAGGTATTAGCTAATGCTGTGGTGGTGATCATTTTGCAAATATATCAGTGTGGCAAATTGACATGTATACACCAGGGGTGGGGAACCTTTGTACTGCCAAGGGCCATTTGGATATTTATAACATCATTCTCAGACCATACAAAATTATCAACTTAAAAATTAGCTTGCTATATTTGGCCAAACATTTAATGCATTGTACACCATAAGCGTCTATAGGCCAACTTTAAAATCATATTTAGTGAGAATTTTCAGCTGAAAATATTTCAGAACACCCCAATTGTGAGTAATATATTTATTTTTATAATATTCATTGCAAATTGATTTTTTTGAAGTATAAAAGTTTATCATTTTACAGCAGTTGAAATACTGACATCAGTATTAAAATAAAAGCAAGTTTTATATAACGATCAAAATACATAAGACTGAAGGAAGAGACCCTGTATGAAAAACTGGGCAATTCAGCAAGTGGAGAACTGTGTACCAGTGGCGGAAATGGAAAATGGTGCCCGCCCATCTCCCCTAGGTGACTAGTCATTAGAGCAACGCTAGATCTGCAAATGTTGTAAACAAGTTCTTGCCAAACCAATCCCTTCCTTTTGATGTTGCTGCAGGTTGCTGCTAATGAGGGTGCAAACTTTTTGGCTTGTGCTTGAACCCTTTTCTCATATTCCACTCT